CGGCTGCTCGGCAGCTGCCGCGGCGCCACGCGCGTGATCGTCGATCCCGCTCGGACACGCAGCGCTGCAGCTGCAGCCGAAGGGCCGCGGCGGGCGCCCCGAGGGCACGGCCTCGCGCCAAACGGGCCCCTCGCGCCACCCTCTGCGCTCTGTCTCTTGGGCAGCCAGCGCCCACGCACCATGCTGCCTCTGTGATGATCCAGACGCCAGGCGAGTCCCCCAGGTCCAAGCACCAGTCCAGGATGGGCCCTGTCGTTAGCTGCGCCCCTGCGCCTGCGGAAGCATATGGTGGCGGCGAGGGTCTGCGTCGCCACCGGCGCAGGTGGTGGCGCGGCAGGGCGGAAAGGCGCGGGGCAGCAGCGGGTGCTGCTGCGCCAAGGCGACGACGGTTGGCCGCTCCAGCGTCCAAAGCCAGGGGCACGCCGGCTGATTGCCGCTGCGTGGCGTGCGCATGAGCGCACCTTGCCCGCCGGGCGCGACGAGCGCGCCGGTTGCCACGGCACGCGGGTGCACCAGCTGCAAGTCATCCAGCTGCGCCAAAACGCCCTTCGCCCCAGGCACATGGATGGAGAAGCCATCGAGCTGCCGCAGCGGCAGCGCGGCGCCCTCTGCAATGTATGTCGCGCATCAGGCATACAGGAAGGTTGAGCGCAGTGCGGAGGTGCGGGCGTGGTTCGGCGCGGGGCTTGCTGTTGCGCACGGACGCAGCACGCAGCCAACAATGCGGGGGCGACGCCGCTGTTACGCCCGCGCTGGCATCCGCGAAACAAGGTGACGCTATGATCCTCTTACCCCGCGCGGCGGAGAACTCGGGTGCGACCGATGCCTCCATCCCCGTCTAGCGTGCTGCCAGATCTGTACGTCTGCCCCACAGCGCCGCGGGCGTGCTTTGAGTCGAGCTTGTAAAGCTACAAGTACAAGTGCTCACACGGACCCCGAAACCAGAGCCGTCGGGTGTGTGTCCCTCGCGGACACACGGGGTCAAGGACGCGTACTCGCTGGCAAGAATGTTTCCGGCGTTTGAACAGCACTTCAAGGCGGGCCCCGTTGTTGGGCCCCGCGCAACGCGTTTGAATCGCTGACTGCTGCCCACACCACCTGCTTACCACCATTATCGCATGTCCGGCCCCCGACTGCATCAGCCGCCACAATGCCGACAGCACGGCCGGTGCGCGCTGGATAGATATCGTACATTAGGCGTCCTTGTGCACTCGCCAGCAGGGTGGGCCGCGGAATCCAGGGGATGAAGAACACAAGGGGTCACAGCTTGGCCCCACACCTGGACTCACGAGCAATGCACGCGGGTCTGACCTAGGACCAGTACGTGTGCATATAATATGCATGGCAGGGAGGTACGACGCGCACACTGTGCGCCTCTTTTTGCACGCCCACATGTGCGTAAGCCACCCGCCTGCCTGGCCCCAATGGGCAGCTTATGAGTATGCCACCGCTGGACTTCTCTGTGCCAGAACCTAGTGACCATGACATCGCAGTTGTGATCAAAGGCCTGGAGGCTGTTGCAGTTCTTGTTGATCAACAACGCAGCCGCTGAACGCCGCAAGCACCACAATTGCCCAGGTATACCTGCTCGAGAAACAGCAATACTGCAGCTCGATGAACCAGCCACTTGAGCCGTGCATGCGCGGTAGCGGGCCTGCGCGGGCCAGCCACCAGATCCGTGAGGGTCATGCTCGCTAGCTCACGGTTTGCATTCGATCATACGTCGCTGGGTTTGAGTGCAGTGAACTTCAGTGAGAAGCCCCCGCGTTCTTGTTGGTTGGTTTTGGCCAGCGGACGGTGGCTGTGGATGTTGTGCTGTGCGTACATCGGGCCGTTGTGGCGAAGCATACACGAGTGGGTGCAAGGCCTGGCGCGCTAAGCTCCAAGAACCCGTAAAGGAGCAAGGGAGGGACCTGGTCAGGGACCGCAATTGTTGTAGATGTGATACGCGTGCTCGGTGTCCGGATATGTTGATTGCAGCCCTGCAAAGATTCTACTTTGTTCGTCATGACTTTGATAAGATCTGTACCTAGGGATCAGGGCTCCGGTCCTTGAGACCCCAACCCAGCCCAGCCCGACCAAACCCCACCACACCCGGTTCTGCCTTGCCAGAAATCCCAGCTGACCTGCAGGGCACCGGCAGATAACGACACTGCGCATCATCAGACTCAGACCCACAGGTCAAGCTGCAAGAAGAAGCCTTGGCGTGCTTCTCATTGCACGATGTGGTGCAGCATGCAGACACACCATGTGGGTGTTGCAACCCCCGGGCAAACCGCACGGGTGTAAGCAAGCCACTGCCACTTGGCGGATGCTCCGACCCTGGCAGTTGTGTGTGAAAGCAGTTGATGCCGTAAAGTGTGTACAGTCGCATCGTGAACCCCATACCGAAGCCTACATTTGGCCGCGTGCATTAGACGACTTCACACTTGGAGCTCGGCGGCCAGTGCGGCGTCAAGCTTGTCATACCGGCGGAGGGCGTTTGTTGTTGTGTTGTGGTTATTGGTGTGACGTAGAAGACGTTCATGACTGTTCCTGCTTGACCTGGCCTTGCCCGCATTTCCCGATCAACTCGGAACTTGCGAGCTCGCAAGGGGGCGACTGGCCCAGTCCCGCGTAAAGGGGTGCTTAGAGCCAGAGCATCAAACTGGGGTGCATCAGCTCAAAGGAGGCCGCTGTTGTACGGAACGCTGGTGATGGCGCTGGTGCAACACGGCCTCCAGGTGCATACCAGGCTCTAGGTTGCGTGCCACCTCAGTATTGGGTGGTTCTTGAGCAAAGCAAGACTGCCGCGCGTTGCTCTTGTCGGCGGTTTGCTGTGCGTGCGCCGTGCCCGTGTGGACTAGCTCAAGCTGTTTGTGCTTTGCACAAAATCACCGCCACCCATCGGTGCCCTGCTCACGCAGCAGGTGGGACGAGTGCAGCGTCAAGCAGTGATGAGAATGTACGGCCGGACTGCAGCACAGTGGGGCTGGCGGAAGATGACCAAGCAGCGGCGCCCGCTGTGGCTCTCAGATCGGCAGCGGAGAAAAACGAGCTTGTTTGCGCCGCAGCTGCACCCCCTTTAGGTCATGACGACGCTAGCTATGGCAGCAGCCGCGCCGGCGGCGATGCGCCGCGGCGGCCCCCCAGCGACGGCGCCGTCGCGGCGCCCGCCCCCGCCGGCGCGGCCCCGCCCGCGCGGCTCTCGCAGCCCAGCCTCATCCAGACGTATGATGAGCTTGGGGGCACGGACTCGCCGGACTCCCGGACCCCTCGGTCACCGGTCAGCATCATGCAGTCCCAAACCGTCCTGGTCGTGCCGTCCAGGTGCGTTATGAGGGGAGGGGACTCTGCTGGGCCACCTCCAGGAGGCGGGAGGCCCCTGCGTATCCCTCGCTTGCAGCCGCCTCAGGGGCGGCGGCAGTCTGGTTGCAGCAGGGCAACGCGACTGCATGACCACCCCATACCTTCATGGCCGCCCGCCTGAGCCCGCCTGCCGCCGCCCCGCGCCCGGCCGCCGCCGCCATCGTCCTCAGCAAGGAGACGCCAGGCGCCGGCCCCGCGGACGGCGCGCGCCCCGCGCGCACAAAGCGGCCGGTGCAGCGCGGCGCCAGCGGGCTGCGCGCGTCGCTGGCGGGCGACACCGCCACCACAGAGTCGACGGTCACCACCTGCACGGGCGCCTGCTCCAGCGCCAACGCGTCGCCGCGGCGCAGGTGCGGCGCGCGCTTAGCTGCCAGCCCCGCCCCCCCAGCGCCACATATGCGATACAGCTGCCGCGCGCTCCCCCCCACCCGTGCTCCTTCATCCTTGTTACACACCCCTTCCTCATCATCCCTGCGCATGGCGTGCGTGCTCTGCCGTCCGACCCGGCTCCCCCCCCTTCACGCGCCTCCTGCTCTGCCTCCTATCTCCTGCCTCACCCCAGCCGCAGGTCACCCAGCAGCAACTTGGACGACGTCCTCACAGCCGGCCTCAGCAGCGCCGGCGGCGCCCCCGCGGCTGCGCCCCGCGCCGGCTCGCCCAGCATGACCGGCGGCTGCGGCGGCGGCAACGGCACTGACGGCGGCGGCACTGGCGCCAGCAACGGCGGTGGCGGCGGCGGCGGCATCCTGCACGCCTCGGGGTCAGTCGTGAGCGGCGACCAAGAGAGCGTCCTTGGCTGGCGGCGCCGCGCGACGGGCAGCTTCTCGATGGACGGCACCAGCGACGCCGGCACGACGAGCACCGCGGCGGCGGGCGCGCGCGCGGCCCTCGACAGCCGGCGCAACATGACCCTGCAGCAGCTGCAGCGGGCGATAAAGAGCATCATGCTGACGGATGGAGAAATGTATGCGAAGTTGCAGGCCGGGCTGCAGGGCATCGGCAGCCTGGCGCGCGAGACGACGCGGCTCACGGTCAACCGAGATTTGACCGGCGCGACGTGCATCAATCAGTACGTGGTGGTGAAGACGCTGGGGCGCGGAAGCTACGGGAAGGTCAAACTGTGTTTGAATACGGTGGACGGACAGCTCTATGCGATCAAGGTGGGGTGGTGTGTGTGTGTTCAGGTGTGTGTGATGCGTGTGCATGTGCATGTGCGCATGTGTGTACCAGTACGTGTGCGTGTTTGTATGTGTATATTGTGTGCGCACGTGTATGATGGTGTGTGTGATCATGCATGTGTGTGCGTGCGTGCGTGCATGCGGGCGGGCGCGTGTATGTCTCCACGCGCGTGTGCATGCGTATTCAGGGTTGGAGGCATACGCATCAGCACACTCTAGGCAGGGCCGCCTGTCAAGAGCTGCTCACAGCTCGCTCATTCCCCCACTTGCCCCTCCACCAACGCCACCGCCGCCCCTGCGTGCCGCCCGCGGCGCCCTCTCCCCCCTCCCCAAAAAAAGATGATGAACCGGTCGCTGCTGCTGCGCATGCTGCAGCGCCCCAAGGCTGCCCTCCGGAAGGGCTCCCGCCGCAGCCTCTCCGAGACAACTGCCGGCGGCGGCAGCGGCGGCCTCCTGTCGCGCAGCGCCAGCTGCTCGGGCGCGCCGGGCGGCGGCGGCGGCGGCTCTGGCGGCGGGGGGCTGATCGGGGAGCAGGCGGCCGCAGTGGACGAGGTTTCGAGGGAGATTGCCATTTTAAAGAAGATGGATCATCCCAATGTCGTCAAGCTGCTCGAGGTGAGCTTGCGCGCACGCGCGCGCGCATGCGTGCGCGCGCGTGTGTGTGTGTGTGTGTGTGTGTGTGTGTGTGTGTGTGTGGATTGGGAGTTTGGGTTGTGTGCATGTGGAAGTGTTTGGGGTTGCGTGTGTGGTTGGGGGGCGTGTGGGCGTGTGTATGTCTCTGTGTGCGCGCAGAGGGCGCGGCGACGCGCGCACGCGCCCTGCCCCTCACACGAGTCACGCATGCCGCCCATCCTGCCAGGTGATCGACCCCCCGGGCAGCCAGTACATGATGTTAGTCATGGAGTACCTCGAAAAGGGCCCCGTGCTCGTCACGCGCGACCAGGCCGGCTTCGAGTGCCTCCCAGAGGAGGTGCGCGCGCGCGCACGCGCTCTTGCAATGCGCTCGTGCACACGCGCACGCCTCCCTGCAGCGCCGCGCGCCGCGCGCCTCGGGGGCTAGCTGTGCATCTGGCAACGCGCCCGCGTGCTGCCCCCCCTCCGCAAGGCCCGCGTCCCCGTTAATTCGGGGGTGCCGTACGCACGCATGCGGCCCGACGGCGGGGGGACACACTCCGGCCGAGGCCGCCCCACGCCGCGCAGCGCCGCCGTCCCCTGCCGACCCTCCTAGGCCATCCCTCCCCCCCCTCCTCAGGTTGCTGCTGACTACTTCCGCCAGGCCCTCAAGGGTCTGGAGTACCTCCACTACCACAGGGTGGTGCACGGAGACATCAAGCCGGGTGAGACGGGGGTGTTGTGGAGGTGCTGTGGTGTTGTGTGTGCGTGCGTGCGTGCGTGCGTGCGTGCGGCGTTGTGTGTCAGAGAGAGGGAGAGGGAGAGAGATTGTGCGTGAGTGCGTGTGTGAAAGAGACATAGAGAGTATGTGTGTTCTCAAGTGTGTGTGTGTGTGTGTATGTGTGTGTGTGTGTGTGCGTGTGTGTGTGTGTGCATGCTACGTGTGTGTGAGCGTAGATTGCGGACCGTCCCGGCCGCCTCTTGCGCAAACCCTCTTGGAACCCGGCCACCGTGGCGGCCGCCACCATCGGACCCCTCCCCCCCCCGCTCCCCGGCTGGCGGCGACCAGTCATGGCCAGCCCCCAGCGCTGGCTTGCTGGTCGACACCTCCTGGCAACACACACACACGCACACACACACACGCACACACACACACGCGCATACACACACGCACACACAATCCCCATACAAACCTCCCCCCGACACACACACACTCGCACTGACACACACGCCAGAGAACCTGCTCGTCAGCGCTAATGGGGAACTGAAGATCTCCGATTTCGGATGCAGCCGCATTGCGGACGGCAGGACCGCGCAGCAGCGGCTCAGCGGGACCCCCGCGTTCACCGCGCCGGAGCTTGTCGGGGGCGCCGGCGGCGCCGGCGGCGCGGACCCGTTCGCGGCGGATGTCTGGGCGATGGGGGCGTGCCTGTACTGCTTCATCTACGGGCAGCTGCCGTTCCAGGTCGGAAGCCGCACGCCTGCGGTTGCAGGCGGCCCCGCAGGGCGGGCTCGGAGGCCGTCGCGCCGTCATCACGCGCCCCCGAGCTCGTATGCATGCATGTGCAGGCGGGCCCCC